ATAAAAACGTGCATTACGTCTAAATTAACTCATATAAATCAAATATAATTTCGTAAATTGCATAAACAATTATGAACAAAACAGCATCACGTATATGCATTGCTTAATACAAAGAGCCGAATCGCCATTCACACAGATTGCCTTTAAAAACATGAGATGCAGTGAAAAGGAATAAACCTCCACAAATTCGTGACGTGTTTTCTAAAAGTTTAAACGGTTTTAACTTTGCATGGCTTTCTATACATCTCTTGTGAGACGCGAGTGCAGCAATCGTACTTGTCCGTCTAGAAAATGTGCTGAATATGCGTTCTGTCTGTGTGAATGGCATTGAGCTTCTATATTTCTCTAATATTTTGAATGAATAACGCAGCAACTGCGCGTCTCGTGGGCTAGACTAACAAAACATTAAACTACAACGTCACTTGCATCATCACCGCATCTCGTGCTCCACTGATGACGCTCCCTGACGCACATCTAACATTGGATTGTACTATTTTTGCATTCAAATGCAAATGTTTATTTTAAATTCGACTAATATTCATTATTTACTCACAATCTCCTCATCAAAGGCAGGCACAGCCCTCATGTTCGTGTTTGTGTGTGCTGTCTCATAGCACGTGCCTATATAGTGCACTATATCGAACATTTTTTATATCGTTATCGAAGAAGGTGTACCGTCGATAAATATCGATAAAGTATTATCGCCCAGGCCTAATCCAGAACACCTGAGAAGAGATGATGCAAACCCTGAAACAACATACAGAACTACCCAATTTTGCTATAAGTTTGATTGAATCATATAATAATTGCTGTTAATAGTGTTCATCGTGTGTTTGATTACGTCTTTAATTGATTACGTCTTTAATTTATTTTTCCGTACATTTCTGCCATAATGATGCAAACCCTGAAACAACATACAGAACTACCCAATTTTGCTATAAGTTTGATTGCATCATATAATAATTGCTGTTAATAGTGTTCATAGTCTGTTTGATTATGTTTTTAATTGATTTCTGCCATATGTACATTAACTGACAGTCACCACTGATAAGCTAATACTAAATATGTAGAAACTTAATTTGCTATTAAGTTGCTTTGCAACGATTTGTATCGTGAAAAGCGCCATACAAATAAATTTGAATTGAATATCTCAGTATATCATCTCAGTGTCATTTTGATTCTAACTAGATGACTTTATTATTTTAAGCTTTATTTCATATTTTTACTTTTTATTTATTTTAAATATTGTTTGATCATTTCAAACCTTTTTGTAAAATTTCTGCTTGAAAAATGTTTGTGATACACTGATACATAGAAATTTTCTAGAACATATAAAATGAATTTGCTGTCACTTTTGACCAATCTAATGTGTCCTTGCTGAATACAATTATAATTTTTTTCCCTATCAGTCTGTCTTACAGTACCTTTAGGTTGATTAAAGCTGATCTGTGAGCTGGTCCAAGGTGTGGTGGGCGAACCGTCTGAAGGGCTGTTACATGATTTGTTGACTGGTGTCTGAGGAGGTGTGTCGTATATGTAAGACCCCGCCCCTCCAATATTTACACCTACCAATAAGAGGACAGAACAATGAGTACCATTCTATTACTGAGCGAGCAAGTGTTAATGGTTGATAAAGCTCATATCAAAGTGTTCAGACTCTCCTAATGCAGATAGCATTAGACAAAAGCCAAAAATATCCTCTTCGGATCCTGATAAAATGCATCTCTTCTGAATTGTGCACTCACTTGGATGGTATATTACAACCTGAAACAAGCATATTCGTATGTCTGAGTTTGCATTAGCATAAGCTATACACTGAAACCTAGCATCTTACCAAACACTAAATTTTCCTAGTCACTGGATCTGCTTTAACTCTTCTGGTGTCTGAGGTGCTTAGGAAGACAGGGCAACTTTTTTTATTATTATTGTGGATGTACAGTATGTGTAGATGATCATATTTGTATGCTTTCGGGTAGCCACTATTAATATGGTTTGTAAGTGAAAACAGGACTGCCTATGAATGTAATCATCTCTCCATGTCTGTGTAGTTTAGATGTATCCCATTTAACAGACACAACTCTCTACTTTACTAGACGTTTCTATCATTTGCTCTCACGAGGAGTTTCAAATAAAGGTACTGAATGAAATGTCCCTGTAAGATCTGTTTCAACCTGATTGACCTGCTTTAATCTGGATGATTTCAACCAACATGACATTAGATATTAAACAAATTAAACCAAAAAAAAAACAGAGCTCTTTTTAAACTTTTTTTAATTTTCTGTATTTTTTACATAAAACATTTTTTTTCCAGACTGCAGGGAATAAACTAAAATTTATCTTACAAACCCTTTTTTTGTCTTTCTTTCTCTCTCTCTCTCTCTCACACACACACACACACACACACACACACACACAGGATAACGTTTCTAGTGGTAAGTGTACGGTCTTTGCTTGGAAGGTTATTCTAAAAGTCAGATGTCGCTAAATGAGCCCTGATTCAAACCTTTATTTCCTGTACAGGAATACACATCGCATAAAGAGCAACTAGCACTAAAGGCCCAAAAAGACTCAAAAGAAAAACCTATCAGCAACATCTTATTGTACATACCTTTTGGTCCAAAGAGTGTTCCATAGCAGGGTTTATGACAGTAAGGCAATCCATCATGCTGTGTGTGACAGAGAGAGAATCTCTTTTAGTACATTTTACTTTTGTTTTTATTTGCTTAGCAGAATTTCTTATTTCTGTGTAGCTTTGCTGCATACACAAAACAAACAGCTTTTTAATGTCAATGAAACACACTAAACCTAATGAAATACAGAAAATAATTTTCCCAATTCAGTTTAAGCACTGACACAATCTGAAAAAAAAAAAACAGAAATATTCGGACTTAGCAATATTAAAGGTTTTTTTTTTCTATAAAAAAATGTTTAATACTAAATTTTAAAATTTGTTCCAGGCACTCTTCTACTAAAACCTGCATTTTTAAGACAAGGTAAAATTATCATAAGTATGTGAGTGTGTGTGTGTGTGTGTGTGTGTGTGTGACAGAATGAAAGAGAGAGAGGCTTGTGTCATGCTGGATTCATTAGAGGTCATTGTTTATCCTTCTGTTCCTTCCTGCTCCTCCCAGACTGCACAAAAAGACCCAGTCAGGCTCAAATTGGACTGAAATTCAAGCCTCCTTACACACACACACACACACACACACCTCTAATTTAGTGTGCATGTGTGTGCACATAACAGTGCTCTTAAAAAAATAAAGCCAAACTAACATGCTAACACTGCTGAGTGATATATTAGAAAAATACTTTATGTATTTATTTTTACATTTACCATCATCAAGGATTTGTAATGTATATTTTATATATTAAAAGCAACATCTATCTCAGCATCTCTGTTGTGACATGAGCTAAAAAATACAGTTTCCGTCCCCACTGAGAGCTGTTTCCCAAAAAATAGAATTAGGAAGAAAAGGCAGTCGACACCTGCAGCGAGTGAACACCAACAACACAACCTCCTGCTGTTTTGCACACCACAAGAGAAAAAGAGCACACACACAATAAACGGAACATATTGACTGTAATAAAAGAGTAACAAGACTAAATATATCCTTCAGCGAGACAATGAAGAGCTGTTTGTTCATCCATTTTTATCAACACAAATGAGAACGCACTAGAAAAGACAAAACCCTCCTTCATTTTAAGTCAGAACTCACCTTATAATTAAACTAAAGTTGTGTGTGACTATTCTGTTTGTGTGCATGCAAGCGCGAGCGTGTTGAGAGAGGGAGAGAGAGAGAAGGAAGAAAGGCAGACAATTGTTTTCTGGTTTGAAAGGACACTTATCTTTGTCCCTCTTTCGTCCTTGTAATAGTTCTGGTAAAGACCCACAGTAACACCAAGTGTGGGAGAGGAAGAGCATATGCTTACAGATACTTGTTCAGTAAAATTATTTTAACTGGACCAGCTGTACCGGACTAAACATGTGCTTTAAAATTACAGATTACTGCTATTTCTTTAGGAATTTCACTGCGGTTTAGAATATTATGATTTACATTTCCTCCAAGAGGCAAGTAGCAGTAAAGCCCAAGACTAAAATAATCTGTTTCACTTCCTGTTACCACAGCCAGTCAGTCTTCCCCCAGTAGTTCTTGTCAGTCTCTTTTATACTGAAAAAAAAACTGACAACATCAAGCACTTTTGTAAGGAGTACCAAGGATATTTATTTCTTGTCCTTTCGTTCTTTGCTATTTCGACGTTCAGGGTTCAAAAGGAGTATGGGAATGGCTTTATGTAACAGTTTCAAGAAAACAAACACGCTTAAATGTTCTATCCAATATTAAATAGATAAATAATCAATATATATGTAATTGTAATCTCTCCCTGACAGTCAGAGAACATTCCAGACAGATCCTATGAGGTTACTATAAATACTTATTATCTGTGTTTACAGTCATTGTAGGAATTTCAACTCCTCCACAAACTTCTACTTGTGATGACTGACAAGTCTGAGGGTAAAATACAGACTTACAAAGGAATGGGTGAATGATCTTTTAACCCAAACAAAACTCTAATCACTGAACAAGAAAACATCTCCTAACGTATCAGGCAGGACCCTCACACATGTCAGTTCAATATAAAAGAGAGAGGAACCAAAGAAGAACGAAAAAGGACAATGAGGGGCACCCAAATAGAAGTTGACAGGGATGACCTACAATCAGTGTCAGTTCAATGGATTGAGCTTGTGTGATCGCCTGCTAAACTACGACACTGTGGATGTGCAGCCTTCACTCTGAGAAACTCTGCGGATGCATTCAGACCAAGAAGTAGGACATACAGAATCATCTGGGATCCTGTCTCTGCTCTCTGATCAAAGTCATCAGCACTGGAGTGAAACTGGTCAATTAACTAACAGATTTGTAAGGAAACTCAAATATTTAATGAACTAAACACTTAAATTCACGAGGAAATAAACCGGTAGAAAGAACGAAAGAAAGAAAGAAAGAAAGGCACAATGATCAGTGAAAGATTTCTTTAATGTCATCTCAGTCTGCAATATCAGCTTTAGTTCTGCTTACCTCCGCATGGCCTCCAGGAGACAGAATCTTACTACATCGTTCACATTTCAGACAGAAACGGTGCCAGTTTTTCCCCAGAGAACTCACTTTCTCAGCTATAGAACAGAGAAAGAGTGTAATGTGTTATCTGATCAGCGTGTGTGAGATATATAATGCTGAGGTTGACTGCTTTAATTGCAGTAATGTATATCTAAATTACACACAGTTAATAAGATTGCAAATGTCATGAAGTGATAAACATCTGTTCGGCTGCTTTGCATGTCAGTCAAACAGCCTCTTCCTTTCGTGGGTAGTTTTTGGCCAGTAAAAGCTGCTAAGTGGACCAGACTGTATGTTAGTCAAAAACCTAACTTGGTATGAATAGCATCACTTGGTCTTCTTGTTCTGTGTTTCTGAAGTGAAAGAAAACATAACAATAAGAAAAATAGCATACACTGCCATTTAAATGTTAAGGGTCTGATTTTTTTTTGTAAATAATTTAATACTTTTATTCAGTAAGGACGTATTAAATTGATCCAAATTAACAGATCTTTTGTAATATTATAAATGTTTTTACTATTTCAAATAAATGCTGTTCTTTTGAAGTTTCATTAATCAAAGAAACTGTAAAAAAATGTATCACACCATGGAAATAAATAAAAAGCATTACAATGGTTTTAAACATTGATAAGTGTTTCTTGAGCAGTAAATCAGCATATTAGAATGATTTCTGAAGGATCATGTGACACTGAAGACTGGAGTAATGACTGCTGAAACCTTTACTATCACAAGAATAACTTACATTTTAAAAATACACTAAATTAGAAGTTATTTTAAATAAATAACATAAGAGACTTCTTTCAAAAACATTTAATAAATCTTACATGCTCCAAATGTTTGAATGGTAATGTACTTAGAATCATTATTTATATGACTGTTATAGTTACTGTATATTCATAGATCATTACAGTTGTGTCCAGCTCAGCAAATGCTGAAATGCAGCTTTAACACAGCAACTGCAATTTTGTGTGTGTTTGTGCATTTATATCTGAAGAGAAATCTATAAACAATATTTACAAGAGCTCTCAGAAGACTATCCACACAAAATACGATTTTTTTATGGTGGAGTCTGCATCTGTGTTTTCAGTTGAACAATGCAGCATCAAAGGAGAGGAAGAACAAACTGGACCATCTGAAGAAATGCTTGAAATAGAGATCCCGTTTCAATCCAAACCCTGCTGAGTCAGTTCTGCTCCTATCAAGCGGATGTCGAAAAGTGCATCTTATCTCGGACCTTTCTAATCTTCACAAGCAGTTTTTGTGCACGCTCAAACGAACAACCATTTCACTGATATTTCAAAATAAATAAATAAATAAATAAAATAAAAATAGATGCACTATCATTCAAACATTTGGGGTTAGCAAGATTTTTTTCCTTTTATTTTGTTATTTTGAACTTTGTTCATCAACGAATCCTGAACATTTTGCTGAATCCTGAATTGTTTTTTTTACAAAAATATTAAGCAGAACTGTTTTCAAAACTGATAACAAGAAATGTTTCTTGAGCAGCAAACCAAAAAAGGATCAGGTGACAATAAAAAAACTGGAGCAATAACTTAACTCAGCTTTGACATCACAAAAATAAATGGCATTTTAAAATGTATGAAAGTAGAAAACTGCGATTTAAAATTGAAAAAATATTTTATAATATTCCTGTTTTTACTGTATTTTTGATTAAATAAATGCTATCTCTTACCCACCCCAAATATTTGAACGGTATTGTGTGCCAATTTTCAGCCAGCTTCAGTATATTAAAAAATGTTTTACAACGTCCGTTGCACTAAAAACTGCTTGCATGTGTTCTCTCACTCATAAACAGCTCATGAATTAAAAAAAAAAAAATCAATAGTTTGCTATGAGCAAAGCAAACACACAGTAAACAGTCATGGACTTTGGAGCACAGGAGTGAGAAATACAAGCAATTCAGAGAAAAACTCACTTGTCAACATTCCACAATCAATCAATCAATAAGCATATTTTCTGCAGTTATAATATACCTAGCGAAAGAGCTATGATATGATATAAAAACATTTTCCAGGTTGACATTGTGCACTGTGCATATGGGGTACTAATCTCACCTCCCCAATGCCCTACACACTAACTAGCCGACATTCCTAGGGTCTGTCTCTCTCACACACACATTCCATCACACAAAACTAGTCAGGTCAAACAGAGAGCACACGGACTCAGACATATTCAGAAGTCTAGGCTCAGTGGGGATATCAAATCATCAAGCTCCTCTTCAACGCAGCCAGAAAGAGAGTTACTCCATCTGCTAACCTGCAACAGTAGCACAACAGATCCGCTCACTTTGTTCAAGAGTCCCTTGCCAAATTCTTACGTAACACTGTCACCCAATTCTCTTTTCACGGGCTATAGCATTTACTAGCCCCGCGGATACTGGATGTCAGGACAGAATACTAAACAGGAGCCGACAATAATGGGACAGACTAGAGAACACCCTCCAATGCGGCTGTGGGAGCGTCAGGGTCACTTGTGCTTGACCTTTCAATAACATTACTTAGTTTGCACAGGCTGCAAAATTAACCCTCATCTTCTACTTGAGACTGACAGTTTGGGGTCCTGGAGATCTCTATGCTGCATGCAGGAAAAATAATAATCGTAATTTTGAAATTAACATAGGCCTATTACTTTACCCTAAATCTTTTCCTCTGACCCAGTTAAACTCACTAGATTAATTTAACTCTTTTGCAAAGGCACATACTCTTCATGTTCATCAAGGACAGCAAGACCATATTTGCAAAAAATACAAATTCACTATTGTTGGCAGGAGTACTGATGTGTACAGCAGAGAATAATAGTATATGGAAATTAATAGTCATATAGATCTCTGAGAACCCAAAGTGAAGAACATCCATGGTGGACTGTTGTTATAAGCATATAAATACACACACTGTTATAAGCATATAAATACACACACACACACACACACACATACACACACACACACACACACACACCACCACCAACAACACAAATCATAAAGTATTAATCCGATGTGTTGTTGAACTATTACACTGGATTTAAGACCCCAAAAAGAAAACAGTGTTCAAATCACACTGCTTATAACCTAATGACTGTAAAACAAACAAATACGCTTTTCAAAGCCTTGTTATGTAACTGTCAAGATTTGCAGAAGTGAAGTCCTTTTAAAAAAATACATTTCCCCTGACCTTTTGGCACGTATTATAAACGGCCTGCAATTTGAGTCAATTAGTCCAGTTCAATGATACAATAACAATGAAATAAACTTGACTTGTACTTCTGCTGAATGATAATTCTAGTGGAAAAACTCACCAAAAAACACAGTCTTATCGCATCTTGGACAAATGGACGTCATTCTCTAGAAGAGTCTTGTTGTCGCGCAGGTTCGGTTCTGTTCGTCTCTTTTCGTTTCGTCGCCTGTCCCTCAGCGCCGCTGCACACTGTGTGCAACACGAGTCGCGCCGCGGCGTTTATTTAACTTTAAACAGCCTCCGCGCTTGTCTCATGAATATTAAATACGTTGCGTGACGTTACACCAGTAAACTCTGATTGACTGAAAGGTAGCAAATCCTACTATACTGAAGGCTCTGCTTGTAAATATTAATTAGGAAACGTGACCGGACGCCCCAAGGTTACTAAGCAACGGTAGCTTGACCTTGTTAATATTCATAGCCTTCGCCATAGTGGGACTGGTTAATGTGCATCGAGCTGCGTGGCACAGTTACGTCACGTTTTGGCTTGACCAATGAGGAATGTTTCTTATACGTCAATCAAAAGAAAAACACACAAAGCTACCCATTAAAACTTCCCCGTCTTCCCAAGCTTGTCACAATATAAAAGTTGTTGTTTTACTCCGTTTTGTCTTTTGTCGAATGAATCTCGAGACATTAAGCGAGCGGCATTAAAACGAAGCATTCCTAAAAATCTTGAAAATCTGAGAATAGGTTACCTGCCTTAAAGGATGTAAATAAATTCTAGCAGAATGTGATTTTATGTTATTTTCATAATCTCTACAGGGTTTCATACTGCCACCTGGTGTTTTAGATCAAAACCACAGTACTGACGGTCTGTTTCATTTGAAAGCCTTGACAACTAAAGGCAGGACACAACAGGCAAAACAAAAGTTTTTTTTTTTTTTCAGGCACTGGTCAATTTTGAGATTTTAGTGTATTTTGGTTCCATACAATTTATTTTTTCAGAATAGTTGAATAAAAAACATTTAAATTGTTTATTTGATCACAATTGATCTGTAGGCGAAATTTTAATTACAGTAGCCTACATTTTCTCAAAATAAGTTTCCAGTTTTATTCATATCTATATTCTGAAGTTTTTTTTTACAGATGGGTTTGTTCATATATCTTTTGCCTGATTTATACATTTTATTAACATTTATTTAACATTTTATGAAACCGTAAGAATGAAATAGAATATTGAACCTGGCTTTATCCAGTGTTCAGATTCCTGTTCTAGAAATGTATTAAAATTAGTGTATATTTAATTACTTAATTTTCATAATTGAACATACGATTTCAGAAAAAATGTAAAATTAATCACTTTCTTAATGTAGCCTACTGTGATTAACCATGAAATATGTTAAAGTCTTGATGCATTATTACGTTTTCTTTTTCTTTTATTTAATGAAGCACATTGAAGTGACCCAAAAATCACCATTTCACCGTCATGTTGTTCCAACTTTAAAACGTATGACTTTCTTTCCATGTAATACAGAAGGAGATGTTAGGCAGAATGTTAGGGACTGACAGCCTCAGGCAACAGCTACTTTTTTCTCTATACAATGAATAGTGTCATTCTGTGAAAGGCTGCCATTCCACCTAACATCTCCTTTTGTGTTCCAGTGAACAAAGGAAGACATATTCGTTTGGAACAACATGAGGATAAATAAATAATGACAGAATTTTAATTTATGGATGAACTACGATAAACCCAAACTTTGTTGTGCTAATATTTACTGAAGCAGAAACTGTCCATTAGTGCTCTCATCCATTCTTCTGACTGTTTACAGTAAAGATACTGTAATTAGTAGACTAAACAGATGCATGTGAATGATGGAGGCATCAGTAAATGCATTTTCAACTATGGCATCACCACTGAGATAATGGATGATCTCAGTCTTGTGTCCATAGATGGGGTCATAGGTCACCTCATGTGAGACAGCAATCCATGGTACCAACTGTTTAATACACAACTCTCACATGGTCCATTACATAACACTGTGCATGGACCTTATACCCTCAAATGTAGCATTAATGGCCAACAGTATTACAGTACGCTATTAAACATAATATATTGTATAATTTATCTCACTGTTTTTACTTGCTTTGTTGTACTTGTATATTTATTTGTGTTTGAAAACTGTTGTGCTGCCTAATATTTAATGGAAACTGAGATACATTCAATATTCTTTGATGAACAGAAAATTTCAAAGAACAGCATTTATTTGAAATAGAAATCTTTTGTGACATTAAAATGGTCTTTACAGTCATGTTTGATCAATTAAAAAAAAAAAAAAAAAAAAAAAAAAAAAAAACACTTGCTGAATAAAAGTATTTATTTTTCTTTCTTTCTCACGGACCCTCACTGACCCTAAACATTTGAATGGTAATATATATTCTTTTAATATAATTTTTAGACAAGCTTTCAGTAGACAAGTCATCAGTTGCAACACATTGCTTAAGAACAGCCTTAATTAAAATTCTCAATAGTGAAGCAAAACAGTCTATAACTGAGAAAGATGTTATGCTACAATGCTGTTCACTTAACATTCACTCAATGAAACATACATCTCCTTTGGTCTGACATCACTGAAAGGACTGATCTGCGGCAGGCAGTGGGAAGTGGACGCTGGAATAGAGACCTGCGCAGGACGGATTTTTCAGGCCCGCTCCCGCAGAAAAAGGTCTTATCTGGTCCCGCTTCATGTTTTGTCCCGCTCCCGCCCGCAAAAGACTGCATAAAAGTAATCTATATAGATGTTTTTTTCCAGCACATCAAAGAAATGTACATCAAATGGTTCTGTAATAGCTCCTAAGATCCACAACATCCCAGCCTAAATGCTCCCGATAAAATATTTACTTAGGTTAAGCATCAACATTCACAAACCAGTGTTATTTTTAATAGAAAAGCAAGCATGGGTTGCTGCGTGCATGGTTTGGCATGGCAGAATGCGAGCAGCGCTTCCTTTATTATCACTAAAAGCTGACATCTCAGTTCATCGCGATCTCATAAAGCTCTGTTATAACACAATGAACATATGCACAATTAATCTTTCACAATGTCTACACTTCGTGTGTTAAAATGAGAGGACTCGTGAGCATGCAATTTCAGCACTGCGGTGAGTAGATTCCAACTTAATCACCTGATTGGCCATTGCGTTCCAGAAATCAACAACTGAGTCTGTGATTGGCTGCAACCATTTAATCACGTGTTATAAATAGAAACTCTGCCTAGCTTGCACGTGTTAATCATTTTAATGTTATTAGTTGTTCTTTTTGCTTTTGTGCAACACATAAATAACAATTTATATGTTTTAGACATTTTATGTTTAGATAATTTCTATTTTGACGGAATCCCACGAATAATTTTATTCTCCCACATCCCGCACACACACACACACGAGTCTCTTCCCGCCCGCACCCGCACTCGCCCATCAAGAGTTGTCCCGC